CACCGTGCCCGACACGATGCACATGAGCGCGTCGGGCAGCGGCATGCAGAGGTACTGGTTCCACCAGCGGTGCACCACCAGGTTCACGTAGAAGCCTGCGGCAGAGCCGGGAAGGGGCGCTCGGTGGGGACACGGGGCAGGGGCTTGTGGGCCCAGGGTGTGGGAAGAGGAGTGACATGGAGCCCGCAGCAGCAACACCCGGCAGGCTGGCCACCTGGGCTGGGAGCTCGGGGGTCTAGCCCTGAGGTCAGAGTGGCTCGAGCAGCCTGGGTCACTCTGGTTACCTGGGAGTCACCTGAGATGGGCCTGGGGTCTCAGTGCGGAGGCAGAGGCAACAGGTAGCCCCTGGGCCAGAGACATACGAAGGGGTTGGGCACAGGGTCCATGTCGGGGCGTAGGCTGGTGACCCCACCCGTGTGGGCAGAGCACATGGGAAGGAGGCTGGGGCCAGGACTTGTCAGAGAAATACTTCCTAGGCTGGACTTGGGGGGACAGATGCCTGTGAGGTCCCTGGAGGAGGCTCCTGGGCCAGGACGGGGGCGGGCACTAGTCATCTTTGCAGACACGGGCGCAGTCCCCGAGGTGGCCAGGGGCAAACCCTCAGGTGACATGGAATTCTCAAGGGGCAGGTGACCAGGTGATGTCCAAGGGGCCACATCTGTCTAGAGGACGCAGAAATGGGGGTCTGTGGGGCTGGATTTGAGGGGTGTCCCAGAGAGGCAGGAGTGGGGGTCCCCAAAAGGCATGGATGGTTTCTGGGGGCGGGGGATGGGGCACAGGGAACTCGAGCGCGAACACACCGAGCACGAAAGAGAGGGGGATGAGGCTGGCGTACTGGTCGCAGTAGATGACCAGCTTCTCGAAGTAGCGCTTGTGGCCTTCGGCCAGCACGAAGCTGCGGGCAGGGGTGCGGGGTCAGGGGCGAGCTCCCTCCCCAGCGCACGCTCTCCTCCCGCTCCGTCCCACACCCGGGGGCCGGGCCCAGCCCCCTCGGCCCGAACGCCCGCCGGGCCTCACCGATAAGCTGCGCTCAGCGCCATGTAGAGTCCGAGGAAGCAGAGCAGCTCCCGCCACAGGAGCTTGTAGATGCTGCCGCGCCACAGCAGCAGCAGCTTCGAGAAGCCGCCGAAGCGCGCGTTGGCCACGCGGGCCGTGTAGGTGACGGTCATCGCCGCGCCGGCCGGGTCCGGCCGGAGGAGGAGGGATCGGACCGACCGCCCACCTGTGGCGGAGGAAGGGGGGAGGGAGGGAACCGGAGGGAGGGCTGGGGGCAACGGGCCACG